AAGCGCGGCGCAACAAGTACAGTCTCAGGAGAAGATCCGGTCGGCCAACCTGCGCGCGGTCAAGCAGTGCTCGGCAACGACGTGGAATGAGATTGTGGCCTTTATCGAGAACGACCTGCGCCCGAGCCCGTTTGAGGTCTCTTTCCTCGCCTTGCACGAGATATATATCGTATATCGGTGGTAGGTCATTGTCAAGCCGGTCGAGAGCGCGGGCAGCGACGATGTGACGCTGTGCCGCTCCATGGACGAGGTCCGCGCCGCCTTTGGCAACATCCAAGGCAAGATCAACCACCTCGGCCTCGCAAACGCGGCGACGCTTGTCCAAGAGTACCTCGTCGGCACCGAGTACGTCGTGGATACGGTCTCGCGCGATGGCGTCCACAAGGTGGTCGCGGTCTGGGAGTACGACAAGCGGCCGGTCAATGGCGCGCCGTTTGTCTACTATGGCGCCTTTTGCGCGACGCGTCCAGCGACGTGGCCAAGCAGCTCATTGCGTACATTGTGCGCGTGCTCGATGCGCTTGGCATTCGCCATGGCCCGGGCCACGCCGAGGTCAAGTTTGTGCAGGGTGAGCCATGCCTCGTCGAGATTGGCGCGCGCTGCCACGGCGGCGAAGGCACGTACATTCCGATTGTGACGCCGTGCATTGGCTACAACCAAGTCGGCGCGACGCTCGACGCCTACTTTGACAAGCCCGCGTTCGATGCCCTCCCGAGTGTGCCGGCGACCCTGCGCGCGCACGGCTGCGAGGCCATGCTCGTGGCCTACGAGACGGGCACGCTCGCGGCGCTGCCGGGCCTCGACGAGATTGCGCGCATGCCGTCGTATGTCTCCAAGAGCTTTCACGCTCAAGTGGGCGACCTTATTGTGCCGACGCGCGACATGTTTGATACGCCGGGCAGCATCTTGCTCGTGCACGCGTCAAAGGACGTCTTGGAGGCCGACTATGCGCGCATTCGAGCGCTCGAACACGCAGGCTTGTACTCGATCGTAGCGTCGCCGCCCGTCCTCGACCCGCTCGAGGTAGCGTCTTTCGTTTTATTGCAAGGCGAAGGGGCCAACTCGCCTCTGTAGGTGGTCGTGGTCGTGGACCCGTTCTCGACGGGCGCGGTCGTCGCCGAGCGCGTGACCCGCCGAGGCTATGCGTGCATCTGCCTCTACAGCGATAAACTCGACAAGATGGAGGGTGTTGCGAGCCTCGTGCCGGACGGACTCACGCTGCAGTTTGCGGCGACGGCCGAGCACGGAGGCGACGCGAGACTGACGTCGGTCCTTCTCCAGCGTGTCGCCGACGCGATTCAGCACCGACGAGCGACGATCGTCGCGGTCTTGCCCGGTGCTGAGACGGGCGTCCTCCTCGCTGATGAGCTCGGGACCATCTTCAACTTGACGCGCAACAAGATGGAGCACACGCTCGCGCGCCGGGACAAGTACCTCATGGGCGAGACGCTGCGCGAGGCGGGGTTCGCGCCGTGCAGCAAGCCAAGTGCACGACGTGGGCGCAGGTCGAAGCGTTTGTCGATCGCTTGGACATGGAGACGTTTGAGGTCGTGCTCAAGCCCGTCAACAGCGCGGGCACGGAAGACGTGACGCTTTGTCTCTCGCTCGACGAAGCCAAAGAAACGTTTCACGCGATCCTCGGCAAGATCAACGGCCTTGGCCTCACCAACGAAGCCGTCCTTGTGCAGGAGTTCCTCGAAGGCGACGAGTACGTGATCGACACGGTGTCGTGCAACGGCCAGCACAAGGTGACGGCCATCTGGAAGTACGACAAGCGCCGCGTGAACGATGCCGCCTTTGTGTACTTTGGCCTCTCGATCGTGCCCGCGACGCCGGGCCTTGTGGACGCGCTCATTGACTACCAGTTTACGGTCCTCGATGCGCTCGGTTTTAAGCATGGGCCCGGCCACGGCGAAGTCAAGTTTTGCCGCGGATCGCCCGTGCTGATTGAGGTTGGCGCGCGCTGCCACGGCGGCGAGGGCGCGTGGGTCCCGATCGCCGACACGTGCGTCGGCTACAACCAGGTGGACGTGACGGTCGACGTGTACCTCGGTCGCCACAGCGTCTTTGACGCGCTGCCCGAGCGGGTACTGCACTCTTTGTGTGCGGATGACATATTACTGACATGGGTTTTGTGTAGCCGCTGGCGCTGCCGCAGTATGGCTGCGAGGTCATGCTCGTGTCGTACGTCGAAGGCATTCTCCAGGGGTACCCAGGCCTCAAGGAGATCACGGCCATGCCGTCGTTTCTGCGCAAGGACCTCTTGCTCAAGCCCGGCGATCGCCTCAAGCCAACCATCGACATGTTTACGACGCCGGGCAGCATCCTCCTCATCCACGCGGACGCGAGCGTCCTTGACGCGGACCGCCGCCGCATCCGTGAGCTCGAAGTCGCCGGCTTGTACGACGTTGCGTAATATTTAGCGCCAATATCTTGCTTTTGATGTACACTAGTGTCGTTTCTGACTTGGCGGAAAGTAGTTGTGTTGACTGCACTCTGCGAGCTTGCGCATGTCGCCGTAGAGAAGGCACTGCCGGCAGAACCCCGACACGACGTGCTGGACGGTCTTACTAGCAACGATGGCCCTCGGGGCGTCGGCCTGGAGGCGCCGAGCCCGAGGAGACGCGTCGCTGCGGCTCGTGGCATCATACGCCTGGTACTTGCCGCCACGAAAGACGATCGGGTCGAGCTTCTTTGCCTTGGGCATCGAGAGCGGCGGCTTGGTGTCGGGCTGGTTGTCACTGCGCGGGCTCGCGGGAAAGATCGCGACGTCGGTGAGCACTTGGGGGTAAATGTCCAGCGATGCAAAAGACGGTGGTGGCGTGAGCTGCTTGAGCGCTTTGGCCGGTGGCATCGGTCGCTGTATCGACCGCCTACGCAGCACCACCATAAGGATCAAGAAACACTGCTGCATTTACGTTGGGGCAGGCTTGATCGTCGAGGGGGGCACGGCCTTGTGATGGGATTTGGGGGCTTGGGCTGGTGACGGTGCTTGGACTGGTGACGGTGCTTGGTCGACGAGATTGTCGATTGCAGCGTCCTCGGGCGACGATGGCTTGGATTCCAAAGTTGGTCGAGTGTGGTTCAAGTCTGTGGCCGTCGTTGGTGGCGGCTCGACAACGATTTCGCCACACGGCTCGTCAACCAAAGCGCTGTCGCACGCCACGGGCGACGCGTCGTCTTCCGCTGGAGGCTCCAGCGTCTCTGCGATAGATACACCGAGGCTGAGCAGCTCGAGTGCTTCGGACGTCATCGTGGTCGCCATGTCGTGAGCACACGTGGACAAACCAACGCCCGAGTCATTAGTCTCTTGTTGCAAGGCCATGACGCATTGGTGACGCCTTGGTCGTCACTCGCGTCATTCTCGTCCGGCGGCTCGGGAATCGACTGACGGTCGTCCGAGAGGCGACCGACGACGTTGGCGCAGGCGTCGCGGAGGAGGCCATTCACGTACGCCTCGGCGCTCATATTGTATTAATAGGATGTTAGTTCCAGCGGTGTCAGGGGAAGGGTTAAGACAGTGACGACAGCACACTGTGCGTCAATGCTTGTGTTCCCTTGTGTACACCCATGGCAAGCCCTACTGAGCCGCTGCACATTGAACCCGGCAGCATGGAAGGCGAGCATTTGATTTCCGACACCGGCTTGGTCCTCTGGATTCCGTGATGGGCATGGTGAGAGGTTTGGTCCTCTGGATTCCGTGATGGGCATGGTGAGAGGTTGAGACCATAGTGATGGGCATGGGGAGAGGTTAGACCATGGGTTGAGACGGGCTGCTGCTGCTCATACGAGAGAGGTATAGAAGCCACAGCTCTTCCTTGCGGTTTGTTTGTGGTCCTTCGCCCCTAGCGACGACATGACCACACCGGTGTAAACGCTTTGCAGGGAACGCTCTTTCCAACCAGCATGATATAAATGTACGTAGCCACTTGCCTCATTGGCGAGCGCGATCAGAACCTCGTGCCGCCACAGTGTATAGCATTACTACATGACCCTACGATTCATGCCGCTGACAGTCGATCCAATGCGTCGTCACAAGATTGATTGATGCGTGCCCTGGTAATCTTGATTGATTGACTGGTCGTGCGGACAACTGGGATCAAACCGGCAATCATTATTCTGGCCTGTATGCAACGTTAGCATCTGGTGGCATGCACGGTCTCAAGGGGCCTCCACAATCGGGCAGTTCAAATTTTCATCTCCACCGACAGCGTCCAGCAGTGTACACGCGCGAGCATGTTTGGCAGCCTCGTCTTGTGGAACGCGGTGCTTGCGTTCTGGGCGCTCACATCGCCGTCGTCGAGTCCGGTCAACACACTCGACGCGACGCATGCGCCATCGGCACCGCCCGTCGTTGTCCCGACGTCAGCGCCCACGAATGCCGTGACGCCCAACAAAACGGTACTCCCGGTTCTCAAGAAACTCGTGGGCCAAGCCAAGCTGCCGCCCGCGCCGCCCGCAAAGCCGCTGCCGTCGACCATTTCGTGTCCGGTGGGCCGCAAGGTGAAGCCAGGCGACACGGTGTACATGACGCTCGACGACGGCCCGAGCATCGGCAGCCGCAAGTATCTTCTCCAAGCGCTCGGCCACATTTCCGAAAAGATTACGTTTTACGAGAGCGCCTACAACATTTGCCCGCAAACGAGCAGCCTCGTGCTGGACTGCGACGACGCCGCCAAGCTGCCAGCGATCGAGCTCATGGCGTGGACCATCAAGCAGGGGCACATGCTGGCCGCGCACTCGGACTCGCACTTGTACGACCGGAGCACAGGCTATTGCGACTATGTCAAGATGGGCGAAAGCACCATCGTGCCGCCGCAGTATGCATCATGTGGCCGCGATGCAACCGCCGACATTGTGCGAGGCGCGCTGCGCTTTCAAGAGACCATGGCGCTCGCCGACGACGCGCTCTGGGAAAGCGCCGACGAGAAGGCTGCGTACGCCAAGCAAATCGCCAACATGTGGACATACGCGCGATTGCCGTGCTCCAATGTGTGGCGCATGGCAGGCGACTACAAGTTTGACATGGGCTGGGGTTCTGAGACCTCAGCGACCGAGAAGGCAGCACGGATCAGCGTTGCCGATGCGATTGCAACCGGTACCAACAAATGCAAGCCCGAGACGTACATGGGCAAACCATGGTACACGACCGGGTGGGACGTCGAGTGGGCGTGGAAGGAGCTCAAGGACACAGCGGCCGAAAAGTGCCGGATGATCCAAGTGATCGAGCACGAGTTTAGCCGGGCTGGCCGCGACCGACGCCGGAGCCAAGCAGTCGTTGTGCTTGGCCACGACTACCATTACAACACGCCAGAGAAGGCTGCTATGTTCCGCGACCTCATCGTCGAGTTGAAGCTGCGCGGGTACGCCATGGACACGATCGATCACCTCCAGCTGTGAAGATCGATATTTTATTCGTGAACGATTTCGTGGTGGGATACTCGATTTCGTTTTGTGTGTTCGGGCCTCGGGCCATGTCGCCATGCGAGCTATGGTAGAGCTCGGGCCCAAACGGCAATGAGATTCAGACAGACAGGATCTCAGCCCATCCAAGTGCCACGTGTGGCCACTCTCGCTAGCATTACTCGCGCCACGTCAGCGCCGTACGTATTGCATCACATGCTTCCATATTTTGTCGTCATGCCCATCAGCACATACAATTCGTGAGGTATTTCTAAAATATTAAGATACAAATGTGGTTGCGGTACACAAATTCGAGGAAGGACCTGCGGCACATGGTCGTCACTCAGAATCCTGGTTCTGGCCTGACTTTGCCGTAGAAAGTCCTAATCAGGACCTGGCGCGAATTGAGCGACGACATCTGCTTTGATTCCGCCGGCGATGTTCGGCCTCGCGCTTGGATGGCACGTCGTAGCCGTCGCACTCGACGTCTACGACCTCGTGGGCAGCCCGTCGCCGGTGCCGTCGCCCGCGACAACACCGGTCCCAAGCACGACGTTGCCACCAACGACGGTGCCACCACCGACGACGCCGCCGCCAACGACACTGCCGCCACGCGTCCCTGGCAACATCAAGCTGCCGCCGTATACGCCCTTGTCACCAGTGCCCACGGCCGTCTCGTGTCCGCGAGGGCGTCAAGTCAAGGCGGGCGAGACCGTATACATGACCATGGACGACGGGCCATCGGTTCTTGGTCGGCAAAACCTGCTCGAGGCGCTCGACCCAACGCCGTTCAAGGTGACGTTCTTCGAGTCGGGCTACAACTTTTGCGGCCCCGAGACCAAGTTTGAGCTCATGTTGCAGTGCAAGCCCGAGGCAAAGCCCAAGATCACCGAACTCTCGGTCTGGACGATCAAGAAAGGGCATGTGCTCGCGTCGCACTCGGACACGCATTTTTACGACGAGGCGTCGACCAAGTGCGAGTACGCCAAGATGACGGCGCTCACCAAGATCGCCGACAAGTACGCGTCGTGCGGCCGAGACGCTACCTCGGACATTGTGCGAGGCGCGCTGCATTTTCAAGAGGCGTGGGCCAACGACACACTGTGGGATACGCGCGAAGAGCAGGCGCAGTATGCTCGCCAGCTCTCGAACCTCTGGAGCCTCGCGCGGCTGCCGTGCACCAACGTGTGGCGGGTGCCTGGGAAAAACTACAAATGGTCGCTCTACGGAAGCGAGTCGGGTAGCGAGCAGACGCTGCGCACAAGCATTGCGGACCAACTCGTGGGCGGCAGCCATCTTCCGTGCAAGAACGAGACGTTCCAGGGCAAGCCGTGGGCCGTCTTTGGCTGGGACGTCGACTGGCGCTGGGACAAGGACCAGATGCGCGACTTGAGCGCGGAAAAGTGTCGAATCGTCCAAGCCATCGAGCACAATTTTGACGCGCCCAACAAGGATGGCGCGCGCCGGCTCGGCGTTGTCGTGCTCGCCCACGACTACCACTATAGCACCAAGGAGCTCGCGGTTATGTTTCGAGATACGATTGTCGAGCTCAAGCTCCGGGGGTACAACATCGACACGATGGACAACTATAAATTTGCGTGGTAAAAATGGCAGAATCCACGCCTTCTCTTGTACGACGTGATATATGATAATGGCTTCGCCAACAATGCAGGAAGAATAAAGTCATTTCGTGGGGTTCTCAGGATCGGCACTGAGGCCGTGTCGCCAAAGTAGTCGAGCTGCAGAGACGCATGATCCACGTCGGGCACCGATGCCTCTCTCATCTGGAGTACACAACGTCTGTACGGACGAGGTAAATGCTTCTCATTGTTGTTGAACTGAGTTATATAAATGCTTCTCGATGTTCTACGCCACCACACCGATACCCAAACGTGTATGCGATGGTGCGTCGGGAGGCGAGGTGTATCCGGATTGTGCCTCGTCGGCATCCAAAGGTGAGCTTGCGAGCGGACAAGGCGGCAACCTGCAGATCATTGAGTTTTTCGAGCCCTCGGTGTCGTTCTTGTCGGCCTCCACGCGTCGCCTTCTACTTGATTGGACACTTGTAGAGTGCCAAAAAAGTGGGGACGCCTAGTCGCTGCCGCACTAGAGGCAGAGTGCATTGAACGGCTACAACTCCTACTAGGTGAACGGCTGGCTCTTCAACACGGTCGCCGTGGCTGCCATTTTTGTCAGGGTTCATCCTCCACTTTGCGCAAAACAGCCCAGAGAAGGGCAACGCACCAACAAGTGTCATTGATCGATGTCCGTCGCTGGCTGGCGTCGTACACATATTAGCCAGGCACCGTCACCGCACTTGGTTTAGTACATCGATGAATCGCTCTGAACGTTGCCACCATTGTGCTCGATGGTGGTGGGCGGGCGTCTTCGAGTGCGATGACGGACACCCAGTACAGTGCAACCACGGCAGGCTCGCCGAGCTCCATGGATGTCCTCTGTCGACTCGACCACACCTCCTACTTCGCAGTACAAGGTAGCTTTTACTGGTTGGGAGGATCTTTGCAGCGACAAACTTCAACCGCTCTCGCTTGCGAGGTCGGTAATCCCTCCTCATACGTGCCGCAAATCCTCGTCGCAGTGCTCACTAACCTTTAGCGTGGTACGACTGGCGGGTACGCTTGGCGGGTAGGAAACGAAAGGCGTCAGGGTTATTGAAATGCCTTCATTCGATAATCACCACAGGCGGTGTTGGACTCGCACGGTAAAGTTCAAGATGTGTACCAAGTGATCGTCTTACCGCGTTCTTATCCTTTCAGCCGCCACCTACACGACCAAGATCTTGATGATCAGCGCGCGATGCCGACTGCTTTCAGAGACGCGCGCAGCTGTGACGGACTCGATCAGAAGCGCCTTCCAGAGCGGTATATTTTGGTAGTACGCAAGATAGTAAACAGCCCTTGTCGATAACGCACTGCTTTACCGCATTCCGTCGTAGGGATCGGGCTCCCGTGGAGAGCGGTAAATGCGTTGTGCACCCATCCAGGTTGAAGCCAACGCTATCGTTTGCTATGATCGTTTGCGTTCCATCCTACGCCCGTGTCGTTGGTCGCGATACTTGCAATTGGTACGCGCTTCGAGCCTCGATCTCGTCTCGTTGTCGACGACTTTGCACTTGCCGTTTGAAAGATCCTTTTATCCTGGCGTCCTGCGACCAACTCGTGGCAGCGTGGGACGCCTTGCTACGTGCCACGCGCGAGTATCATTGCTTCAAAGCGGTGCAGAAAACCACGACCCGTCGCACGTCTGCAGCTTACCGCTCCCCAAATCGAACAAGATCCAGGATCGTAAGACGGCGTTGAAATAGATTGCGCTTCCAGGTGTGCCTCGGGCACATCGTCGTCGCGCCGAGACAGCGCCAGGTAACACACGATCCCTGCGTCGTGAGAGGACCGTCGAGGGCTCCAGACGCTGTGTGTGCACCGAATGCTTGTACGATGAGCGGGACATGTCAACTAGGTTTTTCATATTTCCACCAACGGCGAGGCGGCATTCTTGGGTGTCACTCAACCAAAGCTCAAGTGACATAGCAGCCCGCCTGTCTAGCCTCCCCGTTGGCTACGCTCGCACCAGCTGGTGGTCTCGAGGCGCCGGAAGAACGAGTGGGACCGAAACCGTCTTTGGCGCCTCGAACGGGTGGCGGCCTTGCCGTCACTTGAGCCACTTTGCATTTTCCAATTCGACACCATCTCAGCATGGCATTTCTGACGCTCGAAGATCTCAAGCTTTGCTTCAACCTCTACTGCGTCGTGTACGGCATTGGCACGCTCGGCATGCCGGCCAACTACGCCCGTGCCGGCTACTACTGGGCAACGGCCGCGCTCTTGCTCATGGCGGCCATCAACCTCTACACGACGGTGTGCGTCTCCAAGGTGATGCTCGCAGCGCCCAAGTACGTGCGTACGTACGGCGATATTGGCGAGTGGCTCTACGGCAAGCCGGGTCGCTACATCACGACGCTCTCGCAGCTCCTCGTGTGCTGCATGGTGCCGATTGCCTTCCTCGTCCTCGGCGGCTCGCTCCTTGACGTGCTCTTCCCCGAGACGTTCTCTGCCCAAGTCTGGATCATCCTCATGGCCATCACGCTTTTGCCCATCTGCATGATGCCGTCGCTCAAGGAAAGCGCCGGTACGGCCGCTGCAGGTGCGCTTGGCACGCTCCTCGCCGACTTTGTCGCGCTCTACGTCCTCCTCAACAGCATGGACAACATCCCCGCGGGTCTCTCGCCGCCGTCGCCCGCGCTCTCGTTTGACGGGATCACGTCGGTCTTTGGCAACCTCTCGCTCGGCTACTCGGCCGGTGTCGTCATCCCGGCGCTCCAGCGCGAACACACGCAGCCGGAGCGCATGCCGCGTGTCATCTTGGTGACGCTCGGCTTTTGCTCGGTGCTCTTTTTGATCATTTCATTTGCGGGTGTCCACAACGTCGGCTGCCAGATTCCGGGCAACCTCCTCTTTGCCATCACGGGTACCAAGCTCGGCTTCACGGCGCCCCGCGGCGGCATCGTCCTCGCCTTCCTCTTCATGCAGCTCCACTGCACGATCGCGTTTGCAGTCATCCTCTTCCCGACGTTCTACATCTTCGAGCGCATCATCTTCGGCTTCCATAAGGAGCAGTTCACGCTCGAGGCGCGCCAGTCGGGCTTTGAGGATATCGAAACCCCCGTCATGAAGGACGACGCTGCGCTCGAAACCGGCAAGCCCGACGAAGCAAGCGCGGCCCCCATGTATGCGACGCGCCGCGACTACCTCAAGGCGTGCATCATGCGTCTCTGCCAAGTGTCGATCTGCACGGTCATCGCGATCATCTGGAAGGACCACTTTAACGACTTGCTCAACTTTGTCGGCGCCTCGTCGACCGCGCTCGGCTGCATGATCCTCCCGGTCGTCTTCAACATGAAGGCGTTCCACAAGACGATGGGCATGTTCGAGAAGGTTGCGAGCGTCTTCATCCTCATTGTCATCTCGTTCCTTGCCGTCTACGTCTCGATCCAGACGGGCAAGGCACTCTTTACGCCGACGGCGGCCGACCCGACGATCCTCTTCCCGTACTGCCCGGCCGAGTACCAAAAGATGGTCTACACCAACACGACGTACTACAGCACCAAGCAGTAGACGCTTTGTGTCTCCAGAATAGTTTTGTGAAAGTTTAAGTAATAGTAATAGGACACTTGTCGCGGAGGCAGCGCCCACGGGAGACAGTACACGTCGCCCCTGGGCACCCCCTTCCGACAAACCCTTTTCTTTACGCTCTGTCATTTATATATTCAACTACAGAGTAGCTGTCAACCACGATGCTGTTGTAGGAGCCCAAGAAAACAATAGAAAAGACCAGCGAGTCGATTAATCGTACGTCGGGTAAGGACACTATTGACACGAGCACGGATACAATGTATCATATACGCTCATGGTATACGCTTTGCTTTGAAAAGACAGTCTCTATTCGATGCGCCTAGGATTGGCATCGTCGGGGTGCTGCCAGGCTGATTTGTCGGTTCAGGATCACTCTGCAATGACGTGGCACGTCCTCGTGCCTTCCCTACCCCTATCAAGATGGTCTCACCAACGTGGCTGTGCGTTTGGGCGCTCGGTGTTTTAACGGTTCGGGAATCACACTCTAGACGAGCAAGACCAAAGTAGAGCAGTAGAGGTTGCGTGCTCATTCATGGTGTGCCACCAGAATTCGACAGATCGAAGTCTCCTTACAACGTGTTTACTCTACTGGCACTCGCATCATCGACCATCGAACATGGGTTGTCGGTATGTGGTGGGTTCTTTCGGGTCCGAGAGACTGCTTGCCCGTTGCGCATCGCAGCAGAGATGAGGCCGCGCCGGGGGCGTTGAAAACGAAAGCTACTCGTCCTACCATTCTCAGATTTGCGCGTATGAGAACCCTGTGGTAGGCGAAAACGCGTAAGTGTGTCTGCCTTCAAGGGCAATAGCATATATCCTTCTCGGTCGCATGGCCACGCCGCCGCCCGTCACTCGGGCTCGACTATTAGTTCAAGGTGTACGACGATCGAATGAAAAATCACCACACACAAGTGGTGTTGGCTCGCTGGCGAGGCGCTTGCGGCGTCCGTCATCGACCGCCTCGACTGCTGTCGAGGTGCTGCGAGCTCGCCGTCCGCGTGCATATTCCTGCGGCTTTGATCCTGCGATGCTTTGGATACCTTCAAGCGACGTTTCAGTCGTTGTAGCGCTACTAATCGACTAATTCACCGCTTTCAAATGGACCGAACATTTGCAATCAGTGCAATCTATTGGCGCTCGAGCGCTCGACGACCCGTTTGTGCAATCGCATTAACCCAAATACCCGTTCTGGCCCATCTGGGTCCTATCGCACCTGGGATAAGGCAGCATCTGTGGACGCTTCTGGTGATTACAAACACTATTTCCGAAAAATGGCGGTCGTCTTCTTGTGGCATCTCGCAGGCCATTACTCTTGAATTTTGTATGCACCACGTTATCGGGATCAAATAGTGTGGAACGAGTCACACGATTTAGGAAACGTATGATAAGGTAAAGACAGTAGGACTTCGACGTGTCCCACCCTCTGGGTCTGAGAAAGTGACGCCGGCTCTGCATTGGATTTGCAGGCGCGGATTCCAGCGGTGAGCAAACGCCGCTGAGGTCCCTCGACTAGGACGGCGCACAATTGAATTTGAGCTTTCGACCACGATGGCCGGACCCTTTATGACCATTGAAGACATCAAGACGGGCTTCTCGCTCTTCTGCGTCGTCTGCGGTATCGGCACCCTCTCGATGCCGGGCAACTACGCCCGCGCCGGCTACGTCTGGGCGACGATCGCGACCATCTTCATGGCCGCCATCAACGTCTACGCCTCCGTGTGCATCTCCAAGCTCATGCTCGTGGCGCCCAAGAACGTCAAGACGCTCGGCGACATTGGCGGTTGGGTGTTTGGCCTCCCGGGTCGCATCTCGATCGTGATCGGGCACATGCTTGTGTGCACGATGGCCCCCATCATGTTTCTCGTCCTCGGTGGCACGATCCTCACGACGCTCTTCCCCGACTCGTACGACGACACGACGTGGATCATCCTCATGGGTCTCTCGCTCCTTCCCATTTGCCTCGTCCCGACGCTCAAGGAAAGCGCGGGTCAGGCCGCGGCCGGCGCGATTGGTATCATCCTCGCCGACGCCATTGCCATCTACCTCCTCATCGCCAACGTCAATGTCCCGGAAAACGTCTCGCCGCCGGCCCCCGAGATCTCGCTCGGCGGCGTCACGATGGTCTTTGGCTCGCTCTCGCTCGCGTACGCTGCTGGTATCATCATTCCGTCGCTCCAGCGCGAGCACAGCGAGCCTGCCCGCATGCCGCGTGTCATCACCGTGACGCTGACGATCGTGTCGCTCTTCTTCCTTCTCGTGTCGATCCTCGGCGACTACAAGGTCGGCTGCCAGATTCCCGGCAACCTCCTCTTTGCCATCACGGGCACCAAGCTCGGCTTCAACGCGTCGCGCGGCGGTGTCATCCTCGCGTTCCTCTTCATGCATCTTCACATTGTGATTGCCTTTGCACTCGTGCTCTTCCCGGCCATGTTCCTCTGCGAACGCATCTTCCTCGGCCTCCACAAGCAAGAACCGGTCGACGAGAAAGAGGCCGAGATGATCGACCTCGAGACGCCCAAAGAGAGCGCGGCGCACCACCACCACGAACACGAAGACGGCATGGCTGCCTACGCTGCGCCTGGCTCGTACCTCAAGGCCGCGGTTGTCCGCACGATTGTCGTGACGCTCTGCGTGGTAATTGCGATTGCGTTCAAGGACAAGTTCGGCGACCTCCTGGACTTTGTCGGTGCCTCGGCCACGTCGACGAGTTGCATGATTCTGCCGATGGTGTTTTACCTCAAGACGTTTTGGCCGTCGGTCAAGTTGCCGGAGAAGGTGTTTGCGATCATTTCGATCATTGTCACGAGCATCCTCGCGGTCTACGTCTCGATCAAGACGGGCATCAACCTCTTCTCGCCGTCCGACTCGACCGTGATCTTCCCCTTCTGCCCCGCGCAGTTCCAGCAGGTTGTGTACACAAATCAAACCCATTACAAGTTCTAAGCTAGCAACCTGTAATTTATTTCGTGTCCATTTTCATATCCTTGCAGTGCCAAGACAACGTGTCCACAGTCTTGCTGGACAATCGTAAAAGCGATCCGCGCGGTAGGCACAACGGTCACAGGGATCGATTGACCAACGAGACGCGCCCGCCAAGCGAGACGCCACGAGAAGCTGTTGCTCGTACGACTGTTATCTATATCCGACGTGTCCCATGTGAGAACACGCATACCTACGCACGCAATACGGCGCGTGCCAGTCGCAGTGTATCGCAGGTGTGTTATGGAATGTATCTTACGACTCCTACCATTCAACTCTGACTATAGTTACTATAATAGGCGCGAGTAGACGACCTCAACGTGCTCTAATCAATCCTGCTATTTTTTTCCTTTGTAGGCAGGTGTGTACACTTTGAACAAGGCGTTCCTGGTGGACGCACTAGAAACGGCGAACTACCTGCGTGCGTTTGGCTTACGAGTAACCGACAAGTATCCGGATACCCTACCCCTGACGTTTCGCAAAGCACATACACTATTGCTCGCGGACCAAATACTGTACATACATGGTCGCGTCTCATTGGCTCCTGGGTCGTCTTTCGCCGAATAGTGTTGACATCGGGTCGCAGTGCTCAGACCATTGCAAGCTTTGTCGCATGTCGACGTGCTCCTCCTAACGCGAGCGCCAGAGCCACCACATTGCAATCCGCTTCGTTTGCATCATGGCCAAGGCTCCGTTCCTTACGACCGAGGATATCAAGACGTGCTTCTCGCTCTTCTGCGTCGTCTGCGGTATCGGCACCCTCTCGATGCCAGCCAACTATGCCCGCGCTGGCTACGTCTGGGCGACGATCGCGACCGTGTATATGGCGGCCATCAACATCTACGCGTCCGTGTGCATCTCCAAACTCATGCTCGCGGCGCCGCGGGGCGTCAAGACGCTCGGTGACATTGGTGACTGGGTCTTTGGCGCGTCCGGGCGGGCTGCCATGACGGTGGCGTACCTTTTGTCGTGCACGATGGCATCCATCATGTTTCTCGTGCTGGGCGGGTCCATTCTAGTCGAGCTCTTCCCGAGCTCGTACGACGACACGACGTGGATCATTCTGATGGCCGCCTCGCTCCTCCCGCTCTGCCTCGTTCCGACGGTGCAAGAGAGCGCGGGCACGGCCACGGCAGGTGCGATCGGCATCATTCTCGCCGACGGCATCGCCTTGTACCTTCTCGACACCAACGTCAATGCCCCAACGGGTGTCTCGGCGCCGCCGCCCGAGATTACACTCAGCGGCGTCACAACCGCCTTTGGCTCGCTCTCGCTCGCCTACGCAGCCGGCACGATCATCCCGACTCTGCAGCGCGAGCACTCGCAGCCCGAGCGCATGCCGCGTGTCATCACCGTGACGCTGACGATCGTGTCGATCTTCTTTCTCCTCGTCTCGGTCCTCGGCGACTTCAAGGTCGGCTGCCAGATTCCCGGCAACCTCCTCTTTGCGATCACCGGCGACAAGCTCGGGTTCGAAGCGTCGCGCGGCGGCATCATCCTCGCCTATCTGTTCATGTTTATCCATATTGCGATCGCGTTTGGGCTCGTGCTTTTCCCGACGCTCTTCTTCTTTGAGCGTGTCCTTCTTGGCATGCACAAGGAGGCGGCGCGGCCCGAGTACAATGACGTCGAGTCGCCGAAAGACAGTGCGACGACGGACGAGTCGGACGCGCACTACGACGCCAGCGAGGCGTACAAGGCGCCGGGCGCGTACCTCAAGGCGGCGATCGTCCGGACGGTCATTGTCATCATCTGCGTCGTCATTGCGATCGTCTTCAAGAACAAGTTTAGCGACCTCTTGGATTTCGTCGGCGCGTCCACCACGTCCACGTGCTGCATCATTCTGCCCATGGTGTTCTACCTGAAGCAGTTTTACGCTACACTGCCGCTGCTCGAGAAGGCGTTTGCGATCGTGTCGATCATCGCGACGACGGCGCTGGCCATTTACGTGACGATCCAGACGGGCAGCAACCTCTTTGCGCCAGCGGATGCGGCGGCGGTGCGCTTCCCGTACTGCGCGGCCGAGTTCCAGCACTACGTATTCACCAACCAAACCCACTATCAATTATAATGTACCAAGCGGATGACCATCTTTACGATGCTTGGTAGCTACCATGATTGGAAATGGTGGTGGTAGCTCATCGGCAAGCGTACTTTACGCACGGCTCTATCCGCGCAAGAGCAGTGTGCCAATCGATGGGGACGACACGGACAGAAGCCTCAACCTGCGCTATCAGCATCGAGACGGGCTCCATCATGAAGCCTTCACGGCGCCAGACGATCTGAAATGTATTCACGGTTCCAGCACCCTGGGTAGCGTAGTGAAGCACTTTGGCAATACCGGTATAATTAGTGTACTATGGGCGACGTAATGATGATTGGGTCGTATCCAAGCGCACCGCCTTCACGCGCAGACGTGTCCAGATGTGATCGTACCGGTAACGCTAGTCGAGCGCAGCGAACACCAAGAACAGCGTTTTCTTTGTTCCCATCCACGATTGACGCCCGAGAACTCCCGAGAACCGCCAGCGAACTTGGTGCCAAAGCTTGTGGTCATGTGGGCTGGATAAACGCCTAGGTGCGAACACCATGCTGTACACGTCACGCTCCATATGTCGTGGCGTGGCCGCCGCGTCCGTCATCGTGTGCGAAGCCTCTCGTCGTCGGACGTCCTCCAGCAATGTTCTGCACGCTTTAACGACGTTCCCTGCGAAATGTATACGCGATGAAGAACGCGCTATGTGTCAAAGCCATTGTAGACTAGAAGTTGGACGACGAATAGTGTACATTTTAATCAGAAAAGAGCATGTATGCAGCGCTGGCACCACCAACTTTGCCACCATTTCCGTTGTGGAAATAGTGTACGTTCGAACCGTGCGGTCATTGGTCCTTGACTAACGGACGTCAATTAGTGTGCTTTTAAATGAAACCGGTGGCTGACCGAAACGCTGGTCAGCCGCGACAGGGCAGGTATCCTTGCACCAGTTGTCGCAGGCGCCGAAGAAGAGGCAGCATCGGCCATGAGAAATTAACACACTTGTCTGGGTGCCAACTAGGTGTCGAAATACGTCAGAATTCAATTGCCCGCCCTTTGCCCAAGCCGCCATGTCGGGCCCTTTTATGACGTTGGAAGACGTCAAGACGGGCTTCTCGCTCTTCTGCGTTGTCTGCGGTATCGGGACCCTCTCGATGCCGGCCAACTACGCCCGCGCCGGCTACGTCTGGGCGACGCTCGCCACCATCTTCATGGCCGCCATCAACATTTACGCCTCCGTGTGCATCTCCAAGCTCATGCTCATCGCGCCGAAACACGTCAAGACGCTCGGTGATGTCGGTGGCTGGGTCTACGGCACGCCCGGCCGCATCGTCATGACGATCGCGCACGTTCTCGCGTGCACCATGTCGCCCATTATGTTTTTGATCCTCGGTGGTCAAATCATGACGGTGCTCTTCCCGCATACGTTCTCGGACGTGACGTGGATCATCTTTATGGCCATCTCGATGCTGCCCGTGTGCTTGGTGCCCACGGTCAAGGAGAGCGCGTCGCAGGCCGCCGCTGGCTGCCTCGGCGTCCTCCTTGCCGATGGCATCGCCATCTACCTTCTCCTCGACAACATCCACGTGCCCAACGGTGTGTCGCCGCCGACCCCCGAGATCGATTTGGCCGCCGTCACAACCGCCTTTGGCTCGCTCTCGCTCGCCTACGCAGCCGGCACGATCGTACCGACGCTCCAGCGTGAGCATTCGCAGCCCGAGCGCATGCCGCGTGTTATCGTCGTCACCTTGGTGCTTGTCTCGCTCTTCTTCCTCCTCGTCGCCGTCCTCGGCGACTACAAGGTCGGGTGCCAAATTCCCGGCAACCTTCTCTTTGCGATTTCGGACACCAAGCTCGGGTTCGAAGCCGACCGTGGCGGCATCGTCATGTCGTACATCTTCATGCTGCTGCACATTGTGATTGCGTTTGGGCTCGTGCTCTTCCCGACGCTCTTTATGGCCGAGCGATACTGCCTCGGCATGCACAAGGAAGAGGAGGCAACCTACTCGGACGCGATCGACCTCGAGACGCCCAAGGAGACGACGGACGAAGACCGTCATTACGACCCAATGGTGGCCTACGCCAAGCCCGGCGCGTACGTCAAGGCCGCGTTTGTTCGGACCGTCATTGTCACCATCTGCGTCGTTATTGCGATCGTCTTCAAGGACAAGTTTAGCGACCTCCTGGATTTCGTCGGTGCGTCCTGCACGGCCCTCTGCTGCATCATTTTGCCCATGGCGTTCTACCTCAAGAAGTTTTACACGACGCTGTCGCTCACCGAGAAAGCGTTTGGCGTCGTGTCGATCCTCGTGACGATCGTGCTCGCGATCTACGTGACGATTACGACCGGCATCACGCTCTTCTCGCCGACCGACACCAACATTGCGTTTCCGTTTTGCGCGCCGACGTACCAGCATGTTGTGTTTACGAACCGGTCACACTACGGCGCCCCCTAAATTTGTCGTATTGTACATCCTATTCCAATCGACTTGTACCACCCACTGAAACGTTGGTTGTTTTAACGTTGGTTGTTTTAACACTGTTCCTCTGTCAAACCCGTTGGGTGTCGACATCCAAGGCGCAAAGACTCTCTCAAAAGAATTCACATACTTTGTGCTACACCGGAATGCGTGGGAGTTGGCACCAGTACTCGGTCGTTGGGAGTGAGCTGCGCACGGAGGGAGTGATCCTGTGCTGCACTCTGCTCGCCGAGTAATAATGTTGAATTGTTTTCCATCTTGACACTAGCTTCAAAAGTGACACGCAACGGACGTCAAGTGGCTTACCCTCGCCCCTTGTTGGACCCATGAGTTCTCGTCAAGCAAATGAGCTTTGTCGACTGCGACGTGCTGACAATGAGCTAACCCACTCGGATCCACCGCTGGTGGAATCCAACGGCCAAAGAGCAACAAAGAGTCGAGATCGTCGAGGTGGTGAACGAACGCGTGCAGTTGCGTGCTTTGCGCATACGTTGGAGGAGGCAAATTGATAGATGGGTGTTGAGAAGACGACGTTGGCATGGGCTTCGATACCGTGCAGTACCAGTGTGGTTTGTGGCGACCAAGGTGCGACGTCCAAAGCCAACGATTTGCGACCAAGAGCTTTGACGCTTTGAGCTGGAGCAGGTATGTTGTCGCGACGAAACCCTCTTGGCCCAAGGATGTTGCGAGGCGAGCCAAGTGGCAATCACCGTGCTAAATCATTACGTGAACGCTTGACGAGCCGCGTTGCGAGAGACTGACTTGGTCATCGCCATATAAACCTGTTAAAGCAGTCCGCCATGGTTTTTGGTAGCTGGCTACCATGTGCGAAATATTGTCTGCTACCCTAGTCCGAAGTTGACGTGTGCTACGTGGTAAAGAGGACGACGCAATTGTAGGATCATGCCGGAGCGCCTGTCTCCAATCTCCATTTTGGCCATATTTCGCCAAAATTCCATGGATTCCAACCAGGATTCCTACCACGCTGTTGCACTGACCGTCGTGTATAGAAACGCCAAGTTCATTTCGATCTGCAGTTCGTCGCCGCAGTGGTCAGAGCTGCCTCGTGCCCCAGCGTGCCCCGCGCCAATCGCTCGCTTGCTATCGTCCGTGATCTCCACCTCGGACGATAGAGCAGGAACCTATTTACTTTACATGTTAACCACCCAGCGCACGCGCCAAAGTATTCTCACGCACAAGTCCACCAGACGGTGCAGACTGGCGCTATACCAGGTACAGTCGACTCTCCCTAATTGCATATCCCGAAACTCGATATTCCTCTCCAGTGTGATACAGTCCGACCCTGATTTTTTACAGCTCAAAACGAAATAAAATAAATTTGATGCCGAATGACCAAGAAGCCGAAGGCGACGCCAAAGTCGCGCGCTGTGTCCTCGAGCAAGGCCACCAAAAGGCGACGACGCAGCGAGCCGGATGGCGCGGTTGCGCTGCCGACGACCAGTGCGCGTGGTCGGTGTCGACACCGTCAGGGGTAGCGTCCGTTGATACACCGGCGCTGGCTTGAGGCGCTTGTGCTCGAGCACGACGGCCCTT